ATTAAAATAGAAAACAGTTATTTAAAATGTTTAATATTTCACAATAATTCTGTTTTTATGTGTTTGCCAAATAAATTAAGCCTTGTGTGCATAAGAGACTTCTTTCAAAAGGAAAAAAAATATATTTTAATTAAAATTTTAGATTTTTGTTAAAAATAATACAAATTAGCAAAAGATTGTAAATCTTGAACCACCTTCACTAGCTCATTTTAAAAGGTCCTGCGGTGTGGTAATAGCCTATATTCCAGGCAGTCTATAAATTAATATGATTAATAATACTATGACATTTCAACTTTTTATTAGTATTTAATGCCATTTGTCCATATGTTTAATTTTCAGGTAGGTAAAATGGGATTTTGGACTTCACTGTGAGCAGGACTTCCCAGAAAATCATGACAGAAGTACAACACAATAATTTGCACAAGGTTAAACTCAAATCTCCAACTCTTATTGAAAAAATGAAAGACTGCTGGTCACTTTTGGCACTTTTCCACTGCGTGGTACGACTCGGCACGGCACGGTTCGGCTCGGCACGGTTTGCGTTTCCACTGCAGTTCAGTACCGCTTTAGAGTGGGCGGGATTATTCACATGTCGTTATAGTTGCGCCGCCTCTACTACCACGACTCCTAAAAAAAACCTTTTCATTCCGCGTCGCCCCATCAAGCTCTCGCTGGATCTGCTCCTCTGCTATCAAACGAGAGGAACATCTGCTCTTCCGCAACAGACAACAAAACTTTTTGGTTGTTAATAAAAGGTGCGCTCGTTCAAAACAGTTGCGTTCGATCCTTCGCTGGCTGTGCTGATTTAAATCTAGTGGTTCTTTTGTGTTTGTGTCGCAAGTTCAGTGACGCAGGTAGTGACGATTCTCTCCGGCCAATCCGTGATCAGCAGAGTTTACACATCACGTTTTGGTAACGGTACGGTTCACTTGGAACCCCAACCAAGGTGGTACTAAAAAAAGTACCAGGTACTGTACCCAGTGGGGAAAAAAAACCAAAATTGAACCGTACCGTGCCGTACCACGCAGTGGAAAAGCACCATTTGTAATGGCAAATCACCATACCTTCACCACGGATGAACATAGCTTGTCCTAGGCATGTAACCTTTCACGATGCATGCTAACGAACCTGCCTTAAAGTTGTCTTGTTTGCGTCTCCATTAATTGGGACTGATTAGATCAAAGTCGTTTAGCCACCGGGCAGGATCTGAAGCAGATCAGACAGAGACTTCAGTCTTGAGATAATTACAAAATGACAGGTAACACTCTATACATATTCATACACTAATTTACATGTTCTTAGCTTAGCCAGCTCTTATTTTGGGTGGAAGGAGAGATTTTTGAGAGTCGGGTCAAGCTAACATCTACAGTCTTCAACCCTGGAGAGATAAAACACAGACTTTTATCAGTTGACTATGATGCATCTCGCTGAGCTGAACTCAACTGCACTCTCGATGTCTTTGCCCGCTCTCCTTTAGAGAGAACGCAAGGCTGCTGCTGTTTAAAGTAACATCAAATTACTGTATAGCGCTCTGAATGGCGGTCCTCATGGCATAATGACTGGTCTCGGTAAAGTTATTTCATGAGTAATTTCAGTAAAACTCCAGCTTGGATGAATTAGCCGGAACATGTCGTTCGTTCTTGGAAGCAGGAATTACATGCAATTATTCCACCAATGCGATGACCAGCGACGTCCCCTGTTTGTGAAAGACGTCAATCTGTGTTCAATCTGCTGTGAACATGTTCCATGATTTGTTTGCAAATCTGTGGCATCTCCCCCTTTTTTTTAGCCGGCTGATATTTTGGAAAGACAAAGCAGCAATAGTAGAATATTTATGCTGCCGAGAAGGTGCAACGTCTGAAGGGGATAAACAGAGAGAGAGAGCTGCTCCCGCGAACAAAAAGGAAGGATTACAGAAATAGAGAGAGGATGAAAAAAGCGCACAGGCAAAAGGCAGGCCGCCTCTAGGGTGCAGAGCGTCTAAATAAATAATGCATACTGATGGGGGGG